GGATGGGTATCTGCCGGGTGTTGGCTGGGTACCTCTACCCAGCCAGCGCCGGATGGGTATGCCGCCGGATGGGTATCTGATCGCCCCCCCCCCCTCTCAGGGCTGCCGCCAGAGGGGTATCTGCCGGGTGCCGTCTGGTGGGTACCCCTACCCATCGAGCGCCGGATGGGTGTGCCGCTGGATGGGTATCTGAGCGCCCCCCCCCTTCAGGGCTGCCGCCGGATGGGTACCTGCTGGGTGCCAGCTGGGTACCCCTACCCATCCAGCGCCGGATGGGTATGCCGCCGGATGGGTATCTGAGCGCCCCCCCCCTTCAGGGCTGCCGCCGGATGGGTACCTGCTGGGTGCCAGCTGGGTACCCCTACCCATCCAGCGCCGGATGGGTATGCCGCCGGATGGGTATCTGAGCGCCCCCCCCCTTCAGGGCTGCCGCCGGATGGGTACCTGCTGGGTGCCAGCTGGGTACCCCTACCCATCCAGCGCCGGATGGGTATGCCGCCGGATGGGTATCTGAGCGCCCCCCCCCTTCAGGGCTGCCGCCGGATGGGTACCTGCTGGGTGCCAGCTGGGTACCCCTACCCATCCAGCGCCGGATGGGTATGCCGCCGGATGGGTATCTGAGCGCCCCCCCCCTTCAGGGCTGCCGCCGGATGGGTACCTGCTGGGTGCCAGCTGGGTACCCCTACCCATCCAGCGCCGGATGGGTATCCCGCCGGCTTGGTTCTCCTCCACCGCCCCCCCCCTACCAGGCCATCGCCCGGCGTACACTCTGCAGCTGGCTGTCTGCCTGGAGTGGCCCAGCGCTGGTTCTTGCGAGCAGGAAGGGGGGGACGGCACCGCTGGGCATCGCCTCGTCACGATGGCGATCTCAGGGATTCCCTCAGTTCCTGGGGGTGCATCCCTAAGCCTGTCATTGCCTTTGGGCGTGTCAATCTTAGGGATAGGGATAAGTTCGAGGCTGGTCAGTATTTGCCGTTCCCCCCGTCTTGACAGATGTTTTCGGTGCCCACCCAGCGCGGACCCCCTGCCGCCTCGAACGCACGAGTGCACGTCCCCACCACCTTCGGAGGCCTACACGTTGACACCAGCACCAGCATCGGCGGCTGCTTCCTCCGAGGGAAGGTGATCTCGATCTCGGTGATGGTGGTCACAGTTTGGCTTTGTATGTGGCTGGGAGACTGCCACCAGCACCAAACTCCAGGTTCATCTTCCCCTCGTGGAGGCACCCCCCTGCTTTGGCGTTGCTGCTGATTGCAGGGCCCCCGCGACCAGCATCACGGCGGAAGTCTGTGTTGACAATCTCTGATGTTCCGAGGGCCCGCACCAGGTCCCTAGACCGTCAAACGACGACTCGGGATGAGATGCCGGTCGGTCGAGAAGATTCCGAGGTGGTCGGGCGTGTCCCCCTACAGGCGGACTTTGGACGAACATCAAACAATCAAATAATGTTCATACAATGCTCAAGCACAGTCAACGCATCGCCCTTATTTGAATAGAGCAGTGTGGTCGCCCCGTCCCCCTTCTCCTCCTCCCCCCTCACCTCCTCCTCTCCTGTCTCCTGTGTGCCCCTCTCCTCTTCTCTCGTGCCGTCGGGCTGCGATCTGCGCAACTGTCGCCACTTTCGCGGGCTCCTGGGAGACCCAGCGGATCACCTCGAGACCTCTCGGTGCCCTGGGGGCTGCGATCTGCGCAATTGTCGCCACTTTCGTGGGCTCCTGGGAGGCCCAGCGGAGGTGGGTCCCACGCGGATCACCGAGACCTCGCGGTGCCCTGGGGGCTGCGATCTGCGCAGCTGTCGCCATTTTCGTGGGCTCCTGGGAGGCCCAACGGAGGTATTTACGTCCCCTGCGGATCACCTCGAGACCTCGCGGTGCCCTGGGGGCTGCGATCTGCGCAGCTGTCGCCACGTTCGTGGGCTCCTGGGAGGCCTAGCGGAGGTGGGTCCCACGCGGATCACCTCGAGACCTCGCGGTGCCCTGGGGGCTGCGATCTGCGCAGCTGTCGCCACTTTCGTGGGCTCCTGGTCAGGCCCAGCGGAGGTGGGTCCCACGCGGATCACCTCGAGACCTCGCGGTGCCCTGGGGCTGCTATCTGCGCAGCTGTCGCCACTTTCGTGGGCTCCTGGTCAGGCCCAGCGGAGGTGGGTCCCCCGCGGATCACCTCGAGACCTCGCGGTGCCCTGGGGGCTGCGATCTGCGTAGTTGTCGCCACTTTCGTGGGCTCCTGGGAGGCCCAGCGGAGGTGGGTCCCACGCGGATCACCTCCAGATCTCGCGGTGCCCTGGGGGCTGCGATCTGCGCAATTGTCGCCACGTTCGTGGGCTCTTGGGAGGCCCAGCGGAGGTACGTCCCACGCGGATCACCTCGGGACCTCGCGGTGCCCTGGGCGGCTTGCGATTTACGCAATTGTCTCCATTTTCGTGGGCTCCTGGGAGGCCCAGCGGAGGTGGGTCCCACGCGGATCACCTCGAGACCTCGCGGTGCCCTGGGGGCTGCGATCTGCGCAATTGTCTCCATTTTCGTGGGCTCCTGGGAGGCCCAGCGGAGGATCAACTCGAGACCTCGCGGTGCCCTGGGTGCTCAGATCTGCGCAATTGTCGCCACTTGTGGGCTCCTGGGGGGCCCAGCGGAGGTGGGTCCCACGCGGATCACCTCGAGACCTCGCGGTGCCCCGGGGGCTCAGATCTGCGCAATTGTCGCCATTTTCGTGGGCTCCTGGGAGGCCCAGCGGAGGTGGGTCCCACGCGGATCACCTCGGGACCTCGCGGTGCCCTGGGGGCTGTGATCTGCGCAATTGGCGCCACTTTCGTGGGCTCCTGGGGGGCCCAGCGGAGGTACGTCCCCTGCGGATCACCTCGAGACCTCGCGGTGCCCTGGGGGCTGCGATCTGCGCAGCTGTCGCCACTTTCGTGGGCTCTTGGGAGGCCCAGCGGAGGTGGGTCCCACGCGGATCACCTCGAGACCTCGCGGTGCCCTGGGGGCTCAGATCTGCGCAATTGTCGTCCCTTTCGTGGGCTCCTGGGAGGCCCAGCGGAGATGGGTCCCACGCGGATCACCTCGAGACCTCGCCGCCCCCTGGGGGGGTGCGATTTGCACAACTGTCGCCACTTTCGTGGGCTCCTCCTGGGAGGCCCGGCGGAGGTGGGTCCCACGCGAATCACCTCGGGACCTCGCCGCCCCTTGGGGGGCTTGCGATCTGTGCAACGGTTGCCTCTGTCGTGGGCTCCTGGGAGGCCCAGCGGAGGTGTGTCCCACGCGGATCACCTCGGGACCTCGCGGTGCCCTGGGCGGCTTGCGATCTGCGCAACTGTCTCCGTTTTCGTGGTCTCCTGGGAGGCATAGCGGAGGTGCGTCATACGCGTTTCTTTCAACGCCCCTGTGTTTCCATTTTGTATAGTTGCCGTTCCTATTCTTGCTGCGCTCTTCTGAAATCACAGTTGGAAGCTCTTCTTGCGCACTGCGGGTCCTTCAGAATGCCAGTCAGCATTGAGTGGTCCTGAGTATAATCGCCACATGTATAGAAAGGGTTGGGTACGTCACAGGGTAATTGGACAGGCCCCATTCGATGCTGGGGGGGGCCTGGGTGTCGCGCAATTGGGAGGCGATGCCAATTGGGGGGGGTCAACGAGGGCTGCAGAATGGGGCCCTTCTCGGGCCCCGGAAAAAGGTGGCCCTCGGGGGCCCACGAGTCATGTTCCAGCCTGCTTTGGCGTTGGCCACCAGCAAGACTTTCGAGCACCAACCAAAAAAACCGAAGCGCAAGCGAAGCCAACCCGTGCACGGGGAACGGACGCCCTGGGCGATGGCGAGGCGAGCGATGCGGGGCCCGCGCCTGCTGAGAGGCAGCCTCCGTCTGAGAAGCCTTCGCCTCTCCCCCGGACCTGTGGTGTTCCAACCTGCTTGAGCCTTGCTCATGCCGAAGCTCGTGGGTTTTCACGTGCCGGGCCCTGGGAGACACTCGTCCGACACCGTTTCGACACTCTTGCGACACTTTTCCGGGTGCTCGAGACTATTTCTGGGATGTGGTCTTTGAGTACGGTGGGAGCAGCAGAACCCCATACCCCCCTCTGCGCGCCTCTGGGTGAGCGGCGCAGAGAAGCGGGGCCGTCTTGGCCGACCTTGGCGCGGAGGCTGCCCGCGTAGAGTTCGCGCGTGAGCGCCCTCGTCCCCCAGGTGGCGTGCCGCGCGGGAGGGCCCGCGTACGCCGCGGCGTAAGCTCGCTGGGCCATCTCGCGTACAGTGCCGTTTTTAATGCATGCTCGGCGTGCGGATCATGTGTAAAAAATGAAGGGATTTATTTTTAAAAACAAAGATGAAATCATGCATATATTGATTCATACATTAATCATGTATTAAGAATCAGATATTTTGGACAATCCACTGTGTTACAAGCTGCCCTGTAAGACCCGGCCTTGCTCGTCGCTCAAGTGCGGATCGCGGGCGTGCCCTTCGGCGCTCGCGTCTTGCGGCGCCGAGCGGCCCGCCTGCGCGCGCCCCCCCCCCCCGGCGGCCTGCCGCGGCGTGCGCCCGCGAGGCCCGGCTGCCCCGGCAGACCTCGGCGAGCGCGTGCCGCGACTCGCAGAGGTGCCCGCTCGCAGGCGTCCGAGAACCACGCGAGCGATGCAACCGAACGGTGTCGTCCTGCGTCGACGTTGGCGCGTAATAAGCTGCTCGCGGAAGGTCGCGCGTAAGCGCCCTCGCCTGCAGCGCAGCGTAGCGCGCTGGCGGCCCGCGTAAGCCACCGCGTAAGGTCGCTGTGCCATCTCGCGTAGGGGACCTTGCGTCGTTGCCTCCTCGGCCCATCCCTGGCCACTTTCGGCTGCCGCACCCCGCTCGAGAAGAGTCGAAAGGGGCTTTCAAGGCCCTTGCATCCTTATCGCGCGTCCTTTTGATACGGGCTGAATATAGTCACTTTGCGTGAATGTGCGCCCGTCTAAGACTTGCGACGCCTCGGCAGAAGCTCGTGGAGGGGAGGAGTGCGCTGACCCCCCCGCCCCGTAGGCGAGGAGCACCAGAGGCTCGCCGCCGCGGACGCGGGTACCGTGCCCTGGCGGAAGTGGGGCCCCTACGTCAGCGAGAGGCAGTGGGGCACCTGCCGCGAGGACTGCTCTCCCCCTGATTGTTCCGGACGTTCCGCCCGACCCGTCCCTCTTTTATACAGTCAACCCGCATAGTAAGGATGGGCGACCTTCCCAAGGGTACCCATGCATCCTCATCGTTGGCCACATTCGTTGGCCCTTATCGTCGGCCCATCCGTGGCCACTTTCATTGGCCGCGCCCCGCTCAAAAATCTTCGAAATGGGCATCCAAGGCCCTTGCATCCTTATCGCGCATCCCTCTTATACGGGCCGACTGTATCATCGATGTGGGTTCTTCTGGAATTGCGCAAGGTTTTCATGAGTTTCCATGACTTCCGCAACTTTCGCGGAGGTCGGAAGGCACGGAACGTGGAGGTCGAGGGCTCGGCGGCAACGTCGGCCGAAGTTGAAACCATCTTTGGGTATAGTATATTATTGTCGGGCGGGAGGAGGAGGGCGAGGAGAAGGAAGGTGAGGAGGAGGGCGAGCAAGAGGAGGAGGAGGAGGAGGAGGAGGAGGAGGAGGAGGAGGAGGAGGAGGAGGAGGAGAAAGAGGAGCAAGAGGAGGAAGCCCTGGAGCTGCCTGGAGGTCTGAGGCGGCCCAGCACTGGTTCTGGCCAGCAGGAAGGGCGGGCCGGCTCGGTGTGCACGGTTCGGGAAGGCTTTTCGCTCTCACCAGGTCGAACATATCATGCACCGTGCCGCGCTGGAGCGGGGCCTCAACGGAGCCCAGACATGGTGCGGTGCACGGGCGTTGTTTCAAGGGAGAAAACATCACCCAGGCCGATAATCGGCGTTCACTACACGGCCCCGGGCGTTTACTCTACAGCCCTGCCCTGTTCGGTTCCTTTCCGTGGGTGCGTTTATGACACGGCTTCGCGTGTCGGGGTGATCATTCGGGGGGCGGGCGGATTTTCTGCCCTCTACTGTCCCCATGAAACCATGAACATTCGGAGCACCGAGCAAATGTCATGGATCGGCGCTTGGTCTTGGCGGTGCCTCCAGCCTCCAGCGCCGATCCAAGAAGTCCGTGCGAACCTCCGGCAAGTTCTGTTTATGTCATGCCTCCTTCATCCAGGGTGAAGTCGGGGGTATAGTAGGTTCGATGTTTGAGGTTCTCTGAGATTTTCGTCTGCTCTCGGCGGTTTTCCAGCCTCGGGAGGCGTCCCAGCGGCCGTGTCTCGCTGGGAGGCGTCCGTATGTGCCCAGGTCGCCCCAGACGGCCGCTGGAGACCCGAATGATGAGCCGAAAGCCAGACGCCGAGGATGGCTGGGGGGATAGTCTCAGGGGGCAAGAGCATCGACCCCGAGTCGCGATCTGATCGCCGATGAGCTTGCCTGGCAGCCTATTCCACCCAGGAGCGTGCGGAGTTGCTGTCGGTGGCCACTCGTCGAGCTGTCGGCGATTCATCGCCGACTGCGGCTCGGTGCCTCCCCCCCCCTGAGCCGGTCCCCCGCCGTCTTTCTGGTGAGGCTTCGGCTGCGCACAGAATGCCCCCCCAGATGTCAGGAGGGAAAGACACACACACAGACACAATGAATCGTCGACTCCACAGAAAATATGGGAAACTATGGGAAGTGGGGGGGAAGACGACAACCCAGAAAATATGGCAAAACATCTGGCTATTTGTGTGTGTATTTATTTGTGTGTCCTTGGTCCCCTTCAAGATGGTCCCTCTGGCGTCAACATGCCCCCAGAGTAGCCCAGGGCGGTCTCAACGCCCCAACCCCAGGGCGCGGACCAACCCAAGGGCGCCGCTGGAGGCGGCGCCAGCGTGTTGAGACCGCTGCTCAGGGGCCTGTTGAGGCCAGCCAGGACTACTTGTGGAAGGGGGCTCTGTGCGCAGCCTGAAGCCCTGTGCCCCCAGACATGCGATGTCTGGATTTCTAAGGAAGAGGTCCCCAGAAGTCCCGACCCGTATAAAGCCTAACCGTCTATGATCTTGGGGTCGCGCAAGCGTGAGTTCACCGCCGCCTGTTCCAGCTCAACACCAGCTCGACCTTGCTGTGTGTCGCCTCTGGTTCTGCACCATTGCACTTCTGCGTAGACAGGGTGCGGGCGCGATCTGTTTCTTGATACTCCGCACATGCACCCAGGCGACCTATGGTTGTCAGTGCCATAGTTCTTCCTTCCGAGTCATTTTTGTTGTTGCCTGTCCCGGGGCCCGGTGCGGACCCCAGAAGCCAAAGACGGTGAAACACACTTCCCGTCCTGCTTTTTGTTGCGGGCGCGAGCATCGCCCCCTTCCTCGGCAGCAAGCCATGGGAGCCTGGTACATCCTCTTCATTCTGTCTTTAGCGCCGATTGGCGTCGATTCGCGTCTGGAGTCGATAGGATAGCGCCGATGCAGCGTCGGTTAGCGCCGATTGGCGTGGATTTCGCGTCGAGCAGCGTCGATTTGGCGTCGAACCAGCGTCGGTTCGCCAGAGCCGACGAGATGGTAATTATGGGAGGCTCCCATAATCAAGCAGTGTCGAAACGTCCTGGCTCGCGCATATGCCCACCAAAGGATACATGTCTGGCTGGGGCTGTCTTGTTCTAACGCATCGGGTTTATGTTCTAAGCACGTTGCTTTTGTTATCATAATGTTTTTGTGGGGTTCTGCGAGCATGCCGTGGTGGGCCTGCAGGAATGCCGGGACGCTCGGCCCCTGCTCCACATGCGTTGCGCCGTCGGACCCCTCTCGACGGCCCCCCTTCGGACGTGGACAGAACCCCCAACAGTGACACGTCGATTGGTGAATTGTCCGTTTTCGGTTCTCGAGAGGGCGCCGTGGCCATTATGCCAGGCCTGCGCCCGCCAGGTTTGGGCCCCAGGTCGTTTTCACTAAACCACGTTTTACTAAAGGGGGGTGCGTCCATCCCCTCAGGACTACGGCAGCGACGGGAACTCCTGGGCCTACCTGGGCTTCCAGGAGGCCCACCAGGCGGCCTACAGGTCGCGGGGCGGGCCTCCTGAAGACGGGGCGCCGGCGGTGCCTGGCACGGGCGCGGGGGACCGCGCCGGTGCGCAGCTCCCGGGAGGGTTTATTTTTACTGGGCATCGGCGCTGGCGTGTGATTCTCCGTGGTCGATGGCCGGATGCGCGCTCGGGAGGATCGAGATGGGTACGGAAATGACGACGAGGACGTTGACGATGATGATGACGATGACGATGCTGACGATGATAGGATCCTCATCGTCGTCGTCATCGTCATCGTCATTGTTATCGTCATCGTCATCGTCGTTGTCGTCGTCGGTGTCATCATTATCATCCTCATCCTCACCATCATCATCATCATCATCATCATCAGCAGCAGCAGCATCATCATCATCATCATCTTCATCATCAGCATCATCATCAGCATCATCATCAGCATCGTGGTCTTTGTCATCGTCAGCGTCAGCGTCAGCGTTATCAGCATCACTATCATCATCATAATCAGCATCATAATCACAACCATCATCATCGTCATCGTCATCATCGTCATCGTCACTGTCATCGTCATCGTCAAGAACTGGACTCGCTGTCGGTGTCCCCGCGGATGTTGTCCATTCGGGACAGAAGGCCGCCTGTCCGACAGCGGCCGCTGTCGCTTTTGGACACAGCATTTGTTGTTTGGTATTGCACGTATGTTTTCCCTACCCATGCTGGGCGTCCAATCAGGCGGCGTAGTCCCGCTCCATTTCTTTCAATCACGCCTGATCCCGTTCAACCCCTGGCTCAGTATGGACCAGATCCGGCTCCTGGGGCCTCGTGATGGGGCCCGGGAGCTCTGACCCGTCCGCACGAAACCTCCCATGGGTTGCCTCGTACCTCGGAACGACGGGAGGCCTCGGGAGGCAGCGTCGTCTACCCTTCAGCCTGAATTCCTCTAACCGTCGGTCTTTCCTGAATCCTGGGAGCCTCGCATGTCCTCGCAATTCCTTCTCGTGAGTGCGTTGGCCGCATGATCCTGGTAATCCGCAAAACAGCGTCGATCCAGCATCGATTAGCGTCCAACTGTTCTCGATTAGCGTCGGCTCGCGTCGACTGGTGTCGATTGGCGTCCTTCGGCGGCGATTCGCAAGAGCCAACCAGATGGCATGGTAGGCTTCCACGAGTTGCCGCAGAAGATCCCTGCTCCAATCCCCACTGGGCCATGCTGGGCAGGTCTCGAATTTGGATGAAATCCGTTCCAGAGCGTTCCAGAACGCTGAAACGGCCGCGTCGCCCGATGAATTTCTCCAATCCCGCCGATTCTCAGAGATTCCCGATTCATATTCGGGGGTGGACAGAGACCCCACCCTGACACGTCGATTAGTGACTTGTCCGTTTTCGGTTCTAGAGGGGGCGCCGTGGCCGTTATTTTCTGGCTTGCGCCCGCCAGGTTGGGGCACGAGGTCGTCATCACTAAGTCACGTTTTGCTAAAGAGGCTTCTGTCCATCTCTCTCTCTCTCTCATATATATATATATATATATATATGTATACACATATATAACATCTGGAAAACACTGCGTTTTTCACAAGGGTAGTCTCTGGGAAGATCTGAGCTATCTGGAACATCTGGAAAAGACAGCGTTTTTCACCAGGGCAGTCTCTGGGAAGATCTGGAATACTTGGAACATCTGGTAAACACAGCGTTTCGCAACGGTTCGTGTTTGGAGAAGACGGAGGCAGGGGCGACCATTCGTCTTGCCGGAGAAGACGGAGGCAGGGGACGACCATCCGTCTTGCCATGGCACCTCGGCCCTGCCCGCGCGTCCAGCAGCGGGGCCCCTCGCCGCTCCCCCCCCTCCCCGTGTCGTGCTGCGGCCTTTTGGCGCCGCCCCGCTCCCCCCCGCGCGGGGGGCTCCCCCCCCCTGTTGGATGCTCGTTTTGGGGACCTTCCTGGGGGCCACCGGACGGATCTCTTCGCCCCCAGTTCGACTCAGTTTCGACTCAGCTTCGACTCAGCTTCGACTCCGCTTCGGCTCCGCTTCGACCGAGGGTCGACTCGAATCGACGGGCGCTCGTCGCAGCTTCGGCGCACGACTGGAGCGCGGGGCCCCAGGAAGGTCCCCAGAATGAGCAGCCAACCCTAGCGGCGCGGCGGCGTGCTGGCCCTCCCCTTTGCAGGGCTCGTGCCGATTCCTCCGATTCGCTTCGGTTCGGCTTCGACGGCTCTTCCGCTTCCGATGCGGTTCGGCTTCGGATTTCGATGTGGGATCCGATTCCTGATTGGAAGCCTGCTAGCCTGCCGATTTTCCGCCGCGTCGGCTGTTCCGGACTCGGCTGCCGAGCTCTGGCGACCCGATGCGCTTCGATCGCCGATCCGGCTTGTGGATCCGATTCTGGGTTCCCCTGCCCCCCGGTCTGGACGCCCTATACATGGGCACGGAAAGAATGGGTACAATGCCCAACAGCAGTTCCTGTTCATTTTGAACAGGATTCGCTGTCCACGCCGCCGCGGCCCGTATCCATTCGAGACAGAAGGCCGCCCGCCCAACAGCGGCCGCTGTTGGTTTGGGACTACATGTGTTGTTGGGCAGTGTACACATTCTTTCCGTGCCCATTTCGGGCGTCCAAACCCTGGGGCGCGGCAGCGTGCTGGCCCTCTGTGAGTGCGGCTTGGTGAGGGTGCTTCGCCAGAAGAGAAGCATCGGGAACCGGAGGAAGAAGCACGGCACGCCGATCGTCGACTGCGGGGTCCCAAGTTACTTCGAGCGCCCTCCTGCTGCAAGAGTCGATTCGCTTCTGCTGCGTTTCGATATTCTCTGGGGGGACCTGAACCCTATATACTTCATCCGCTCAGGACTTTCTGAGAGTCGGGGACGACGTCGGGGTGGTGTGGCGTATACTTCTTTTTTCGTCTCCTGGGGAAAACCCAATCGTGTATACACAAGGGTCCCGTATACACGAGGATCCGCTCTCTTGCGCAAGTTTCAGAGCAGGGCTGGAAAAAGCGTCGGTGTATAGAGCTCGTTCGCCTTTTCAGGGTACCTATGCCTCCACCCTGCCGTCGTTTTTCGCTTTTTGGGGCCTCCATGCAGGCCTCCGTCGCCACCGCTGGATTCGCGTCGAAGCTCTGGTCAGAATGCACCCAGGGAGAGGTCCAGGATGTAGCGGCATTGGTACCTTTGGTTTCCCCCACTCGGGGAGCGGGGTTCAGCGGCCTCTGGAGACGTCCAACGGTCGTTGTCTGTCGTCGTCGTCGTCGTCGTCGTCGTCGTCGTCGTCGTTGCTGTCGTTTTCGTCGTCATCGTTTTCGTCGTCGTTTTCGTCGTCGTTTTCGTCGTCGGCGGCGGCGGCGGCGGTGGCGTTGGCGGCGTCGTCGTCCCTGGTCGTCGCCGTTGTCGTTCCCCCATCCCGTCTGGGGGGGGGGGGGGGCGTCCGAGGCGCCCTGGGAGGCACCCCATCCGGGGGGACGGGGGCGGCAGGCACCGAGCACGGGAGCATGTCATCCCCCACCTGGGTGGGCACGGTACGTCGGCCCGCGGGGCCAGGGCCACGCCGGCGGGGTGCAATGGGGGCCCACGCCGAGAAGCACCCTGCTCGCCTCCAGGGCGCCCCGGGTTTCCAGGGTTTTTTTGGTGGCGCTGCCGTGGAGAAGCTTGACGTGCCCGCACCAGGAGTCAGTGGACGCCATTGGGTCTCTCAGGGTTGGGTTTTCTTGTGGGAGGCTTCTCGTGGACTGGCCGACTGGCTTCCACTGTACGCCTCGGTCGAGGGGTGCTCCGAGACGGGGGGGCGAACTTCAAGGCGGGCCTGTCCCTCTACAGGGGGAAAAATCAAACATATCTGAACCATAGTCTGGGTACGATTTGTTTGTATTATTTATGTTACCATTTTTGAAGCTTTGTCTCTCTAGTTTTCATTTCTCGTCCAAAGTCCGCCTGTAGGGGGGCATGTCCGACCGAAGGCTAACTGCGCGGGCACGATCGCTCTGGGCGCGCAGGCCGCGCACGTGCCACCGGCCATGGTTTGCGCCCCCCCCGGGTCCGCGCACATGCCTGCGGCAGTCAGGGCCCCTCACGTTACCCCCAGGATTGTATAGGGAGACCCTCCCCCATGTCCTCCTCGCCAGGGGGAAGGGTAGCGCTCCTGGCGACGAAAGCTTCATTCTTCGTCCACCCTCGGTGTTGTGCCTCCCAGGTTCGCTTCTCGTGTCCTTTGAGTTCGCCGCCCGTGATGCCATTCGCGCGATGTGGAGGCCTCCTGCGATCTGGGGCCACCCACAATTTTTCTCTCCAGTCTTCATGTTTCGTCCAGAGTCCGCCTGTAGTCAAGGGCATAAAAGACGCCCCTACCCTGGTTTACGAGGCGCCGTGCGCTGAAACTCCAGTGGGCTGACAGGGCAAACCCTGCGCGATGTGCCGCGTCCTGGCGGCTCTAGGCTCTGGGGGCTCCCATCAGGTTTACAGACCACGCTGGGGCGCCCAGCTCTCACTTCTGTGACTGAGGGCCCCGGCCCGCCCGCACCGGCCTTCCAGGCCCCGCCCCCCGGCGGACTCAGTCGCGCCTCGCCTCGCCTCGCCTCGCTGGGGCGCCCAGGGTAGGGCCGTCTTTTCATCCCTCAATGTAGGGGGACGTGCCCGACCTCAGGCTGACTGCGCGGGCACGGGCGCCCTGGGCGCGCGGGCGGGCCCCTGCACGCTCGCGAAGCGCGGCGCCCCGCGGTCTCCGCGCGGCGCGCTCCGCGCGAGCGGCCCGCGCACCCGCCGCGCGCCAATGCCCTCCTCCTCCATCTCCTCCTCCTCCTCCTGCTCCTCTCCTCCTCCTCCTCCTCCTCCTCCTCCTCCTCCTTCTCCTCTCCTCCTCCTCCACCTCCTCCTCCTCCTCCTCCTCCTCCTCCTCCTCCTCCTGAGGCTACAGCGCAGTGACCTGAACGAGCCCGCGCGCGACGGAGAGCAAACGCGTGCCTCCGGGGTGGAGGGTGAGGGAGCACAGTGGGGGCGCGCCTCAAGAAACCATCTACTTTTCGTCAGGATGCCCTGGGTTTCTTCGCTCCGCGCGATGCGCGGTGGCTTCCCGCTGCCGTTGGAAGGAGCTGCTGCGTTCGGGGTGCTCCGGGTTTCCTCTCAGTTGCACCTCGCGCGCGGGTTTTCAGGGTTGGGTGTCTTGCGAGGGTTTCTTGCGACCGCGCCCGCGCTGTACTTCACATAGCGCCAACGTCGCAGAGCTGTTTTCGTTCGGCACGCGGTAGGACGTGTTTGGAGTGTCCTGGAGAATGTCGTATCGGATTTCGAGGTGAATTTCGCGCGGATTTTTTTGGCCAGGGATGAAGACCAACAAACAATCCACGCGACATTCACGTCGTTTTTCACTCGCCGTTTCTGGCAAACATCCACGCAGCAGTCCACGCAGAAATCCGCTGCACCACGTATGCAAGGCCAGTGCAATGATCTTCCCGAGATCCGCGGAGGGTGCGGAGGAACACGTCGAAACTCCTGGAACACCTGGGCATGTCCATCGGCGACGAGCGATGGGGGGGGGGGGAGGTGAGAAGGAGAAGGCCTTGTCAGAAGGCGGCGGGGCTTCTCAGAAGCCCCCCTGGCCTTCTGAGAGCTTTCCTGTGTTTTTTCGGAGAAGGCTTCATTGGACAGCTCCTCAGAAGGCCAGGGAACCTCCGAGCCTTCTGAGAGGAGGCCCTCGCCTGCTCACTTCCTCCCCCTCGCCCGGCGCCGATCCAGGGAGGCCCACCGGGTGGAGAGGTCCAGAAACAGGGAGGTGGAGGGGTGATTCACCAGTTTGAAACATATCCCTATCCCTATGTTTGACATCACCTCACCTCGATGCCGATCTTAAGGATTCCCTCAGTTTATGAGGGCCTATCCCTAAGATTGTCCTCGCTTTTTGCTCGCCCATCTTAGGGATAGGGATACGCTCGAGGCTGGTTAGGGGAGGGGTGATCCGCGCGGGCGGCCCGCGCACGGTGCCGCTGCGCACGGCGCCGCTTTGCGCCGCCGTGCGTGCGGCCCGTCACCCTTCTCGCCGCGCGCGTTGGGCGAGGGCGGCGCCGCTGGGTTCTGCGCGGCGCGTGGTCAAGTCCGGCGTGTCTCTCCACGAGAGAGGAAGACTCAAAGGTAGTAAAACAAAGAGTCTGGGGACGAAGCGTCGACTGCTTTCAACCTCTGTTTCATTGTGTGGTTGGGGTATGTTCTGCCTGTCGCCCAGGATCCGCCTGTCGGGGGACACGTCCGACCGAAGCGTATGGAGGAAATCAAGGCGAGGTGATTTGCTGTCTTCGGCCTCTGGGGGCCCTCGCCTGGCCCTGCGGCCGTCAAGAGGGCAGCGCTGGGACGAGAAGCCCGGTCACTGGGATAGGGGTCGAGTAGAGGGCCACATGCGAGCCCTACCCCTACCCCCCACGATTTCTGAGGGGGAGGGTGGGGTTCACTTCGCTCGCTCCCGAGCGAAGTGAACCCCACCCTTCCCCTCAGAAATCGTGGGGGGTAGGGGTAGGGCTCGCATGTGGCCCCCTATCGAGACTTCGGGAGCCCCGTGCTGAGACAATCAAGGTCTCGGATCTCTGGGGAGGTCGCTGTTGCATCGTGCGTTGATGTCCGCCTCCGCTCGCCGCCCAGGTGGGGCGAGGACGGCATCGCCGGCTTCTGCGACGAGGAGCAGCGGCTGTGCCTCTCGGTGGCCATGTGGAACGGGAAGGACTCGAAAAATGATAACTGCATCAGCATTGCAGTCAACCCGCATGGTAAGCATGGACAACCTTCCCAAGGGTAATCCTGCATCCTTGCCCTTTCGGCCCATTCTTGGCCACTTTCGTTGGCCGCGCCCCGCTCGAAAAGCTTTGCCATCGACGTCTAAGGCCTTTGCATGCTTATCTCTCATCCTTGTCATTCGGGCCGACCGTGACCTTTGGAGTGCCGAACTGATTTCTTGGCTCGGCGTTATGCACACCCGGCGGCGCCTCTGGCGCGGCCCTTGTCGCGCTCCGCGCGCCAGGGAGGTGGGCCCAGCCGCGAT